TTACTGTTACTATTGCTATTGCTATTACTGTTACTATTGCTATTGCTATTACTGTTACTATTGCTATTACTGCTACTACTGCCAGTGCTGCAACTACCACCGCATGTGAAGTTAGGTAAGCAACATTGACCGTTAGGGCAACATCCTCCTTCGCTATCTGTACATTCATAAGAACCACTTGGACAAGTAGCATCTTTTTTCATCAAAGGTGAGCTGTTAGCGTATTTTCGGTTAATAGGAAAAGTGCGACTAATTTGTTCATCTCTTTTCTTAATGGAAGAAGTTTGACTAATTTGTTCATCTCTTTTCAAATTAATAGCAAAGGTAAAGTTGATTAAGAATACAATGACAAGAACAAATAATAAAAATTTATTTGCCATTATGATTTTAGACGGTTTGAATAATTGTGCAAACAGCATTTTGTTAAACTGAACTGAATGTGTACTTATAAATGAATCAGATATTGACTGCAGAATAATTGTATCATTTCTATAAATAACTACCCATTATAAAGTGAGGGATTAAATATATACAAAAGATTTCAATAGCGATTAAAAACTATTTATCTGTTGTTTTGTTTATTATTAATTAACAAAAATTGATTACATATACAACGAAGAAACGTAGTAATTAATCGATGATTCGGAATATTTATTTGCAAAAAGTATCATATAATTTCAAAAACGGCCAAGAAAATAAAGCAAAAACTGAAAATATATTTTAATTATGCACGATAAGATAATACACGATAATCTAAACACCTCATGTTAATGTTGCACATTTTAAATTAAGAAAACAGAATTTTCATATATTGGCCAATAAAATATTAGGTCATTTACGCATAATTAATTCTATTAATCGAATGAATGGTCAAATGAAGCAATATCAATAAATAATTGAATCACAAATAGGAATTCAGTAAAGCAATATGGTTTAATTAATTTTAAAGCTAAAATTAAACTTTATACAAGTTACTTTCATTACAATGGCCTCTTGATATAAGCATACGTAGTGAAGGACATTTTATAAAAACCTTCTCATACATATAGTGAATTTTGCTCAAGAAATTTCACAGCCTTATCACTGCACTATAACGAGTGAGTCTTTTTTACATATAACCCATTTTTATTTGGTATTTGCTTGATTATCCAAGCAAATTCCGAGAAACCATATATCAGGTAACTTTATAAACATGTTGAATTAAAATTTATCAAATTAATATATCAGGATCTGATTTTTTTTTCCGATTTTTGGCGTCCATCGTGACAACAACAATGATATATTAGTAGTTGATGAACGAGTAATCGAATACTTGATAGAGCTATCAAGTATCCGATAGCTTACTTGTACCTCTATCAACTCCCAATCAGTGTTCAAAATTCCCTTGCACAAGATGCACACGTGCAAATAGTTTTTTCTGTGTATGGAAATTCCTAATTATAAACGCACAAGTGTGCAACTAAGTTTAATTAGGAAGCTTGCTCAAAAAATAAAGTGCAATAGAAATTATAAGTTTTATTGCAAATATATAGGCACAAAAATTTAGTCTAAATAAAATATGAGATAGGATAAAGATAGTCCTAAGAGTTTCGAAAGGAAAATGAATGAGCATTAAATACGAGCAAAGTTAAGCATAAATTTTGAGGTAATATCTGATATATTCCGAAAAATTAACCAAAAAAATATAGTAAAATTTTATAACGTTGGCACCATTCAAGATAATAAATATGTACATATAAAAACAAAATTTATATGCATAGCAACTAG